GAAATAGAAGTAAAAACTAGAGTAAAAAAAACTAGAGAGAAAAAAAACTAGAGAAAAAAAACTAAGTAGAAAAATAGAAAAAAAACTAGAGAAATAGAAGTAAAAACTAGAGTAAAAAAAACTAGAGAGAAAAAAACTAGAGGGAAAAAAACTAAGTAGAAAAATAGAAAGAAAACTAGAGAAATAGAAGTAAAAACTAGATTAAAAAACCTAGAGAGAAAAAAAAACTAGAGAAAAAAAACTAAGTAAAAAAATAGAAAGAAAACTAGAGAAATAGAAGTAAAAACTAGAGTAAAAAAACAGAGAGAAAAAAACTAGAGAAAAAAACTAAGTAGAAAAAAAAACTAGAGAAATAGAAGTAAAAACTAGAAAAGAAAACTAGAGAGAAAAAAAAGAAAAACTAGATAAATAGAGATACTAACAGGTTTTTTTTAACTTAAAAATATTAGTAGGTTTAATTTAGAATTGTCAAGTCACACAGAAGAACTTGCAAAATAAAAACACTAACACCACCAGATGAAAAAGGTTTATTTACTTCTTAAACTTTACAAAGAAAAAAGTTATCTTTATAAATCCAAGTTTTGAAAATTGTCACATAATTCATCACATTTCACACTAAAACATATTAATTAATGAATCTGGGTACCTTTCAACTTTCTTCAACATAAAGTAAAAAAAAAATTTCATCAAAAAAATAAGAGAAAATATATTTAGAACAAAAACTAAAACTAAGAAGAAATTAAAGAGAAAAGAAGTATAAGAAAAACCAAAGCAACTGCCAAAATCTTTTCAATTGTGAAAGCACAAGGAAACACATGCAAAATCGAAACAAAACAAACACACAGACAAAAATCAGGTTTTCTTCTTAAACTTTTCAAAAAACATTTAGAAGCAACTGCCAAAATCTTTTCAATTGCAAAAGCACACGGAAAACATGCAAAATCGAAACAACAAACACCACAAGACAAAAATCAAGTTTCTTCTTAAACTTTTCAAAAAATATTTAGAAGCAACTGCCAAAATCTTTTCAATTGTGAAACAACACGGAAAAACATGCAAAATCGAAACAACAAACACCACAAGACAAAAATCAAGTTTCTTCTTAAACTTTTCAAAAAACATTTAGAAGCAACTGCCAAAATCTTTTCAATTGTGAAAGCACACAGAAAAACATGCAAAATCAAAACACTAACACCACCAGACAAAAAAGGTTTACTTCTTAAACTTTACAAAGAATAATTTCTCTTTATAAATCCAAGTTTTGAAAATTGTCACATAATTGATCACATTTCACACATGTTATCACACACTAAAATATATTAATTAATGAATCTAGGATAGGGCTAAAATAATTCAGGTTCTTCAGGGGTGCCTTTCAACTTTCTTCAACTTCATTCATTCTAAAGAGAAAAAGCATTTCATCAATCCTTTTAGGCAAAAAAGTGGCAGCAAAGTTTGTATTTTCAACCTGACATCATTATTAAAAGATATTACTCTTATCTTACTTTATTCATCTCTTTTATGCCAATTATTATTTTTGCCATTTTCGATAAAAAGAATGTGTCACATGCATATATTCAACCCAGACATATGTCACTATTTTATTTGAAGACAGAAAAACTGGGTATCACCTTCTGAGTACTACAGAATATAAATCACAGGGAAATTAGAAAAATTTCTCCCAAGTTCTCCCACTTTTTCGTGGATATTTATTGTGACCACCACAGGAATATCCGTAATAATAATAATTTAGTAGCAGCCAGACTGATTCAGCTGTTATAGCATCAAGTTTCATCATTGGTTTCCACATGGTGAACATAGAAGCAAATTTCATTTCATAGTTGTCATCTCAAAATGTAGTGGCTTTTTAAATCAAATGCTGACCATCCATGACAAATCAAATTACCTCTGTGAAGAAATCTTGTCACTTTCCAATGTTCACTGACAGTAAAGTTCATATCCACAGCTCATGTTGCACTCTTGACCAAGAAAAATCTTGAATATAGATATATAAATAAGACATGATTAACATAAAATTCCATTTTCAACTATCTTAACTATTGTCTAGTTTTTGGTCAGGTATTCTATGGTATATTCATCCCTACATATAAACAACTATGGTTGCATATTTATTTAAAGACCACACAGGAATTTATTACTGGTGACATATAGTGAGCATAGAAGCAATGTTAACTTAGTAATCTAACAATTTGTGACTGCCTGACGATTTCCAAAAAAAGATCCTAGTGCAGCAAATTCCCCTTATACTAGATCAAAATATAACCGGGAGTTGATATGTATTACAAGGTCACTACAAGAATTTCAGCTGCAAGGCTAATATAACTTTTGAAGGAGCAATCGAATTACCTTTGCGCAGAAATCTTGTCATTTTCAATGTTCATCTGACAGTAAAGTTCACATCCACAGCTCATGTTGCACTCTTGACCAAGGAAAAATTTGAATATAATATAATAAATAGAGACATGAAAAAAAAAATCCATTTTCAACTATCTAATTTGTGTCTAGTTTTTGGTCAGGTATTCTATGGTTATACTCATCCCTCCACATATAACTATGGTTGCTATATTTATTTAAAGACACACAGGAATTTATTACTGGTGACACAGTGAGCTAGAAGCAATGTTAACTTAGTAATCTTAACAAAATTTGTGACTGCCTGACGATTTTCCAAAAAAAGATCCTAGTTGCAGCAACCGGGCAGTTGATATGTATCAAGGTCACTACAAGAATTTAGCTGCAAGGCTGATAAACTTTGAAGGAACATCGAATTACCTCTGTTCACTTCCAATGTTGACCAAGGAAAATCTTGAATATAAGAAGACATTATTATATAAAATTGCATTTTTAACTATCTTAATTATTGTCTAGTTTTAGCAGAAGGCACATAAACAGTAAAGTAAAATACTTAACTTTGACCAGACAGCACAACAATCTTGCTCGGAAAGGTCCGCGAACGGTCCACGTGGATGGGATCGCCATTTTGAATTCGGCGGCCGGGCGAGTCTTGAACTGATTTCTATTTTCTATTTCAACTGTTCTCTTGACGTTCGTCTGATAACTGGCTGTTGAGATAAACGTTAATGACAAAATGTTCAGTTCTGCTTCAGTGGGTGCGGAAATTGCTCATGACATAAATTTTCAGTAAAAAATTATCATCATTGCAGGCAGAATTAAGCTCGAAACTTTAGATAACCTTGTACGCAGAATATTCATATTGTATATGGCTTTTGTTATTTCTGGCCAACAATTAGCAGAAGGCACACAAACATCAAAGTAAAATACTTAACTTTGACCAGACAGCACAACAATCTTGCTCAGAAAGGTCGCGAACGGTCCACGTGGATGGTTTTCTTTGGCATCGCCATTTTGAATTTGGCCGGGCGAGTCACCTTCATCTTGACAACTAGCTGTTCAGATAAACCTATATACAACGAAAAAAAAGGGTTCGGCTCAGCTACACTGTACTCCTTAAGGAAGGCCTACGGCCTTCCCGTAGATTAGTGTAAAGGCCTACAAGTGGGAACTAGCAGCGTGCGGGGGACCAAAACGCTCTAGGCAAACGGTCCCCTACTGGGGTCGGACAAAGCAACCGCAGATTACGCATATAATCGCCGGAACCCACCTTTTAGTCAACGGCGAACTCCTTCTTCCTCGAACAATCTTCAATCTTGCTGAGCTTCGATCTTGCTGTCCACCTTCGATCGCCACCAATCTAAAGAAATTTTTTTTTAACGTTGAGATTAGTTTTTTAGGCAATAATTACCATGTGATCATAGCAGATCACGTGGTATGATAATGTACGATAACATGCCGATCAACTCCGAACATCATCGTGAGCGATGTTACTGTAAACGAATCACTAAAAGCCTAGAAAAAAGTTGTCCTTTTATTTTCAACATTTTAAAAGCAGTGCATTCTAGTTTTGTTTTGAAGCACGATTTGTTTCTGGCTTCTAGTTTTTGGTTTCGTTTTAAAAGGTGAATTGTCGCTGTGTGCCGAATTCTTTGTATTTCTGATGTCAAACAATCCTGTACTTTTTGGTATCATAAAATAAGCTCCTTTGTTTTGGAGACATACAACAGTTTTTTTATATTTTAGCCAAAACATTATAGCAGCAATTACAGATTCACTAAGTTCATTCTCATCTTGATTCACAAATTTTTAAAGGACTTGAATCGATTCCATGCGGTCTACAATAGCTGGGCGAACGTCTTACACCTAAAGTCAGTCAAAGATTGTTGTATCTCAATTCTTTAGCTTCAGTGATAAATAACATGAAGAAAAACATCACTTAATCACAGAAAACAACACAGATCAGTATACCATGAGAAACATTACAAGGTCTTTATGATCTCTTAAAATAATTACCTTGGCAAACATTTTGCAAGAAAACTCTCACAAAGTCCAGTTAACTGATAACACTAAATGACATGCCTCCGAATAGTTTTTGTTCTGCTCCGAGAAGGTCATCGTTGGCAGTTCTTTGGCTAGCAATAATAGAACAAAATGATTAGGACTCCATACTCTGGATGGCGTTGGCCTTGCAGCACCTGTCCACAGGATGTAAATTGACAGCCATCTCGGGCAGTCATCTCGGGCAATCATCTCGGACAGTCATCCCAGGCAGTCATTTCAAGCAGTCATCTCAGGCAGTCATCTCGGCCAGTCATCTCGGGCAATCAACTCGGGCAGTCATCTCAGGCAGTCATCTCGGGCAGTCATCTCAGGCAGTTATCTCAGGCAGTCATCTGAAGCAGTCATCTCGGGTAGTCATCTAAAGCAGTCATCCCGGGCAGTCATCCTGGGCAGTCATCTCGGGCAGTAATCTCGGGTAGTCATCTCAGGCAGTCATCTCGGGCAGTCATCTCGGGCAATCATCCCGGGCAGTCATCTCGGGCAGTCATCTCAGGCAGTAATCTCGGGTAGTCATCTCAGGCAGTCATCTCGGGCAGTCATCCCAGGCAGTCATCTCAGGCAGTCATCTCGGGCAGTCATCTCGAGCAGTTATCTCAGGCAGTCATCTGAAGCAGTCATCCCGGGCAGTCATCTCGGACAGTGTTTAGTAGGAGCCTACAATTATGCAAAGTAGAACACAATGGAACTGCAAACATGAAATATTGAAAAGGATAGGAATCTTCGAAGTTTACTGAATCATCAAAGACTCACCGTCGAGAATTCCACAGGCGAGTTCTCGCCGTCGAGCGAGAGATTTTCACGTCGTCCACCCGGGCTCTCGGGAGCTTCGTCGCCGCCTAAAGATATGTTTGAATGTTTTAGGTTAGTTTGAGTTTGGTTGTGTGGTTGGTTGGTTCGTGTCAGCATTCGTTGTCTCGTCCTGTTTGAGGTAGAAATTTACCGACTGTCGATGTGACCTCATCTCGCTGATGTGTGTCAAGGAACGAGATAGAAAAATTTTCCTAGTAGAGCTTCCAAGGGCGATTTACTAAGAGATTTACCACTTAACTTACTAACTTATAGATGGATGTACAACAAACCTTTTGCTGATTCTAGAATCGGCTGGTTCTAGGTTCCCTGTTTCAGGATGCTGTATAACCGCTCGCTTTTGAAGAAGTATTTTGCAATGATCAGCTGCCGGAGATCAGGGTGTTGAGTTGTGTCAGAGTTTAGTGCGTCGGTATGGTAGGGTATGGTACAACTGTATGGTCTGTTATAGGTGTGCGATGTTGGTAAGATACAGTATGGTAGAGTAGAATACTATGTAAAGGTAAACATCAGTATATGGTGAGGTATGGTAGGGTATGGTACAACTGTATGGTCTGTTATAGGTGTGCGATGTTGGTAAGATACGGTATGGTAGAGTAGAATATACTATGTAAAGGTAAACGTCAGTATGGTGAAGTATGGTAAGGTATGGTACAACTGTATGGTCTGTTGTAGGTGTGCGATGTTGGTAAGATACAGTATGGTAGAGTAGAATATACTATGTAAAGGTAAACATCAGTATATGGTGAGGTATGGTAGGGTATGGTACAACTGTATGGTCTGTTATAGGTGTGTGATGTTGGTAGTAAGATACGGTATGGTAGAGTAGAATATACTATGTAAAGGTAAACGTCAGTATGGTGAAGTATGGTAGGGTATGGTACAACTGTATGGTCTGTTGTAGGTGTGTAATGTTGGTAAGATACGTTATGCCTTGGTCTTGGCCTACGGTCTTGCCACTGAGAATTTACCTGCATCGAGTGAAGTGCCAAACCTCATAATTGATTCACCCAGTTCTACAAAACATTTAGTAATCATCACAAAAGTTAAGTTCTACAAAACGTTTAGTGGTCGATCACAAAGTAGTTCTTCACAACTAACAGATTTCGAACATTACAAAAATTTTCTAGATGAAAATATGAAATGCGGTTTAAAAAGTTAGCTTTATTTCATTATTTCTAATGTTATTTCATTAATTTACAAAATATACTATGAATTTGCCAACGGCATTTACCTCGCAATATAATATTTAGCAGTGTTAAATTATAATTTTAAATTATATAATTCTGTTAATTCTGTATGCATAAGGCAAGATCTAAGTGCGTTTTACTTATTTTTATATGAAATGCAAGAATAAAGAAATGGCTTTTTCCGGACTGCAAATTTAAATTTCCTGGGGAGGAGTTTTAATCTTTTATCGTTGTCGTATAGGTGTCTTATAGAACTATGTAGCCCGAACCGCGCGTAGCCTGCGTACAAGAGTCGTTTGAGCATGCGTGCTGTTATTGTACATTGCTATAAATTTTTGGTGTTTCGCGGCAGCTTAGAAAAATATAAATATATAAATAGATTATTTATTCCCATTGATTTAACGAACACTTGTGGAGAAATTCTTGTCCTTTTTCGTGAATCCATTTGTTTGCCACTAATAAAAAAAATAAACGATCCGTTTGGAAAATATTTTTCATGCAGAAAATTTGCAGCGATACTCTTTTTATACGAAGAATGGACAAGTGAACTGCTATCCCGAGAATGTCAAAACGTTTTGAAGCTATTAAGTGAAGACTGCTTTATCAAAAACACTCGAATAAAAGTGATTAAATAGAGTAAAATGGTTGATTGTGTTTCTAGTTCCAGGCCTTTCCCGCCTTCGCGCATTGTTTTTACACTCACCCCATTTTGTTCCAACAAATACAGGGCATGCGGCATGGCGCGTGTTGTCATTACCATTCCCATTCTTCAGCAAGTTATACCAAAAAACTCCATCGCCCTGATTATGAATGAAATGGAAGAATTGATTAGAACTGCATGAATGAGGTATCCTCTCAATGAAAGAATCGCACGTGAAAACACTGGATCAATAAGAGATGATCCTTACTGGACCTATAGGAAGAACAGTTAGGAACTGATAGAGCTATCCAGTATAAATAAAGTTCGTTTAGTTTAGGTTTCCTCCTGTAGTAACACTGGATCAATAAGAGATGATCCTTACTGGACCTCTAGGAAGAACAGTTTAGAACTGATAGAGCTATACAGTATAAATGAAGTTAGTTTAGTTTAGGTTTCCTCCTGTAGTAACACTGGATCAATAAGAGATGATCCTTACTGGACCTCTAGGAAGAACAGTTTAGAACTGATAGAACTATACAGTATAAATAAAGTTAGTTTAGTTTAGGTTTCCTCCTGTAATAACACGGGATCATCAATATGTATCGTCCATGTATTGTTTTAGAAGAGATGTTAAAAATAAACGAATATTTTTTCAAACCTTTCGAGGTTCCACTAGTGCACCGACGTTGATAAATGCTGTTCCGCCTCCCAGCTCAACGTCGCTCATCTGGAATGAAAGGACAGGTAAAGATTACTGGGAATAAGATGGACCACATATATATAATATGATATTTAAAATCGCGCGTCGTTTGCAAGAGCTTTGATTAAATCTTAGTATTCCTAAATCGAGGATCCTCTTTTATAATTGTTGGTTGCAAAGATGAAATTTTATCGCTTTTCGAGCATTTTTAGAACGGTTGAAAAAACACTATCCGGTGGATAGCGCTATCCACCTCCGTACAACCGGCCCCAGGTAAACAAAAGCCAAACGTTGACACAGGTTAAAATTATGTCTTTTCAGTCACGCCGATCCATCAGCTAGCTTGTCGTTACCAGTTCTTCTTCTCACTCGAGGTAACTTACATAAAAAAGCAGAGTGGCTATTCTATTTCCAGTCCCCAAACTGGGAAATTTTTCCTCGTCATCCTGAAAGACAAAGTGCCTGGATAACAAAGGGTTACGTCGCTACCGTAGTTAATAGACTTACATAAAAAAGCAATGTCGCAAGCCTATTCCCAGTTCCCAAGTCTGAGAATTTATCTTCGTGCTCCTGAAAATTAGTTTAATTGATTTAATCAGTGTTAATTAGAACAAATTATTAGTTAATTAACTTAATCACGTAGGATCTAATTAGACAAACGTTTAAATCTATTGCTTTAACTTAGAATTTAAAACTTTCCGTATAAGAATGAACTTTCAAGCGTTTTAAAAATGTTATATGCAATGGCATTAAACTCAGACTTGACTCAGAAATAAAAGAGAATACATGTATAAATAACGTATATTTATATTAGCTACAATTTAACGAACAAAAACTCGACAGTAATTAAATTAATATATGATGAAATTTACTGCTTTTGAAAATTATTTTTCAGTTGTTTGGATAAATATATTAAAATATGTTTTGGTTATTTTTTTCCATCGAGGGAATGGTTTAAATGAATGGATTGTTTAGCTTGGAATTTCTCCAAAATGTCGAGTGAAAATGGTTTCTATGAGGAGGAAATAGGTCTAGCCAAGACTGTAATGAAATATATGAATTTTAAAATTCAACTTCTCTTACCTGTGCGTGGTCATAATGCGGCTCATAATGGCCCCCCATACCGTACGTGTTCACCTACAAACGAACAAAAAATTACAGAGATAATCCTTACTGGAGCTCTAGGAAGAACAGTTTAGAACTGATAGAGCTATCCAGTATAAATAAAGTTAGTTTAGTTTAGGTTTCCTCCTGTAGTAACACTGGATCAATAAGAGATGATCCTTACTGGAGCTCTAGGAAGAACAGTTTAGAACTGATAGAGCTATCCAGTATAAATAAAGTTAGTTTAGTTCAGGTTTCCACCTGTAGTAACATTGGATCAATAAGAGATGATCCTTACTGGACCTCTAGGAAGAACAGTTTAGAACTGATAGAGCTATCCAGTATATATAAAGTTAGTTTAGTTTAGTTTAGGTTTTCTCCTGTAGTAACACGGAGACCGTCGAAATCTATTGTAACGACATTAGCCAGCTCAAAAGAATAAAATTTAGCTTATATAGTTCAGTATGACTAACCTGTAATTCTTCTGCCGTGGCAAATGTCAGTCCAGTTAATTCTTCACTCCTCTTGCTGATACGTCTTATTACAGGATCCTCGGAATCTTTCAGCCAACCGCTGATATTTTGAAAAACAAACGGGGGTCACCAAAATGCTATGGTCTTAAAACAAAGGGAAGGGAAGGGAGGAAGGAGAGGGTTGCTCGTCATCGCCTTACAAAAGGCTGAGCTTGCCACCTTTATGAGATTCTTCAAGCTTCAACCAAAGGCCTGGTAACTACTTTAATGATAGTTCATGCAGAATAAATGAATGTAACAAAGGATTGGAATGATTTAACGTGAGATTGGTTAATTCATTAAAGCGTATTAGTCTTTGGTATCAGTTATGAATAACCCCTAGGGCCAGTAGTTCATTACCAGAAGAACTTTGTTCAACCAGTTTTTGAAATGAAACACACCAGCAGTTATATCTAAACTTTAACAATTTGTATCCAAAAGAATTTAAAGTTATAAGTTTTAAAATAAACTGGCAAACAGAAATATTTTAAAACAGCATTTAAAAGCAAATTAAATTTATAATAATAGCGATAATCTAGCTTTGAACAACTGGCCCCTGAAGTATATCTTTTGCCGGTTTTATAAATAATGTGGTTAATGATTAATCATTATAGTAATAAGTTATTACGTTTGAGAGAACATTTTACTCTCGACTATAAGTTTAGCCCGGGGGGTGAAGCCCTGATTATTGCTGTACATTCACATATTTTAACACAAGACTTTAAACCTTTAAATTTCAATTTTAATTCGAGTTTAATTTACGTTTGATGGCTATCATTAACTAGTAAATAGTTAATTTTGTTATTCTGAGGACTATCATATTTATTGCCTTAATCGGATTCAGACTTTTATATTTTAATTATATTTTGTAAAATCATGTTTTAGTTTTCAAATTTTAGAAATATTTTATATATTGACCTTTACGAAAGATTTAACGGGGGATATCTGTTGTTTTTTCGGGGAAAACAGTGGATGCTTGTGACTATAGATGGATGTACAACAACAAACCTTTTGCTGATTCTATAATCGGCTGGTTCTAGGTTCCCTGTTTCAGGATGCTGTATAACCGCTCGCTTCAGCTAACGAAAGATAAGTATTTTGCAATGATCAGCTGCCGGAGATCAGGGTGTTGAGTTGTGTCAGAGTTGAGTGCGTCGGTATGGTAGGGTATGGTACAACTGTATGGTCTGTTGTAGGTGTGTGATGTTGGTAAGATACGGTATGGTAGAGTAGAATATACTATGTAAAGGTAAACATCAGTATGGTGAAGTATGGTAGGGTATGGTACAACTGTATGGTCTTTTGTAGGTGTGTGATGTTGGTAGTAAGATACGGTATGGTAGAGTAGAATATACTATGTAAAGGTAAACATCAGTATGGTGAAGTATGGTAGGGTATGGTACAACTGTATGGTCTGTTGTAGGTGTGTAATGTTGGTAAGATATAGGAAGGTGTAGTAGAGTATACTACGTAAAGGTAATGTTTAATAAAGTTAAGTCTGGTACGTAAGGTAAGGTATAATGGTACAACTGTATGGTATAAGGATTTGTATGGTGTGGTATTGCATCTCAAGGAATGGTACCGAATGGTAAGATCTGGTAAGGTATGATATGCGTGTCCTGTGGTACAGTACAGGTATGGTACAATTTGGTAAGGTATGGTGTAACATGGTAAGTTAGGTTGTACTAGTGGTAAGACAATGTATGGTAAGGCATGAAATGGTAACTTGGAGTAATAGTTTGGTCTGTAGAGGGAGAAGAGCGTTAGTAAGGTTGGTACCATGGTAATCGACCATAGTAAGGATGGTACCATGGTAATCGACCATAGTAAGGTTGGTACCATGGTAATCGACCATAGTAAGGTTAGTACCATGGTAATCGACCATAGTAAGGACGGTATTGCCGACAAATAGAGAAAGTACGTGTCGAAAGGGTAACAAAGAAAACAGATTCATTGCTGTACATCACAATCTCTACACTAGGGTATATTACTTGCCTTTAGACATCAATTTTAAAAGATATCTTTTCATTTTTCAATATTTATTTCTACCTATTTAAATTTAGAAGATTCACACTTTGGGTGTTAACTCATTATTCAATACACAGAACTTTCCAAACCCATTGTTAATGATCGAAATTTAACGATCTAACCTCAGTTGCACACGAAATGAAAATGAATGCGTGTGTGATTTGCGATGTACAACAACAAACCTTTTACTTATTCTGTAGTCAACGGTGTGAAGAGACCCATCGTCATTAAAGATTACTGCTCGTCGAAGCTAGGGAAAGAAATGTAAAGTGTGCAGTTGTAGTAGACTACAATGAAGAAGTTGTGTAGAGAGTACATGCAGTAGTAATACAGAGAGCGCATCGGAGCAAAATGAAGTAGAAAGTAGTTAAAAGAAGAGGAGCTAGTTGAACTGAGAAGATCTTGCAAGAGAGGGGTAGAATAGAGTGAAAAGGTATACAGAGTAGAGCTAGGAGAGTAATGAAATAAGGGGAAATAGCGGATAGAGACCGACTGGCATAGTTGGGAAGCAAGTGAAGGATAGAGAAGAACAAAGAGGAGTAAAATATGTAATAGAGTAGAGCAGAGTAGGATAGAATAGTGTAGTCAAGCACGTTTAGCCAAAGCAGTGTTAGAAGTTAGTTACGGTCATCTGTACAGTAAGTAAGGGTTTAAAGCAAATAGAGGTAGATAAAGGAAACAATTTAAATTGTGGTAGGATAAGGATACAATACTGAATGTCACGTATGTAACAGTAAACACCAACTCTCCGTTACAACACAAGTTAGGAAAAACCAAACATCTTTTCCACATCTCTCAAAGGCCAGACCATGCAATCCTTATATTTGACTAAAAGTACGTAAAACGGCGCGCGAGTTTTTATTTAAACTAAATTTAAACTTCGAATTTAGCTGTGACACAAACCTTTTGCTTATTCTATACAGGGCTGGTTCTAAGACTCCTGTTTGTCCGTCACGAATCTGGGCCCTTTGCAACTATTTAGATAACAAATTACGTATTACAAAGGTGCCTAAAGTAAATATTAGATTCCCGCCGAAAGGGAAAACTCGTCCTTCAATCAACTTTTAAAAGAAATTAGACTGTAATGTTTTCGTCCAAAACCCGTTTCGGATGGCGAGAAAGCGCTTATACGAAGTCTCTATTTTCCTCCCCAAAGACAGGCTAAATTTAGGTAGACCTAGTGTTAAATTTGGGAGGTTTCGTACAAACCTTTTACTAATTCTGTATGGGACAACCTCAATCTCTCCGGTCCTAATATGTCGTATGAGGGCTCTTTTTAACTGTCGTAAAAATAACGTTTATGCATGATTATTTATAGATTATCTCATCTCAAAGTTTGGCCATTATTTTGATCGAAATTTGGAGAGTTATTTTGAAAGCCATGCATGTGGAGAGTTTGTTTTCATATCGCTTGACCGTTAAATTAGGTTCATTTATATTTCATATTATTCATTATACAAAACAACCTTCAATTTCAAAGTTACAACCATTAACAACACAACACATCTACATACGAACACCTGCAATTGCCTTCTGAGTTTTTGACGAGACTTTAAAGCATTCCCATGCAAAAATTTGTATTTGAGAAAACGTGAATTTACTCATGTAACTTAACGTGTTTACTTTCACAATTTATATTTTATTTTTCGTTTAATTATATCGATGCTTCCAGCGTAACGAATTTCACGCACCAAATGGTTTTCAAGTGTTTTCGTCTAGCCAAACGGCCAAAAGTAAACATGAAAAAACGTGTTGTCGTCAGCTTGTTCATCTGACCATGTCGTCAGTTGATAAACAAGATAATGTATATATATATAGCAAGCTAGTAAACAAGTTGTAGCTAAAAATGTTTCCAATTTAGGGTGATTTTAAGCACGACTTCACTTTCAAAAGGTTTTGAAATACAATAAGATAACAGGTTCCTGTTAAACAAGTCATTGTGTAGATTATATTTTCAACCCTGTTGTCGTGTTGAGGGCCAATTACAGTCAAAGAGCTTTCTATGGAAGTCGAATGCCGATATATTTAATAATTTATCGATATTTTGTATTTTAAAATGATAATGTTAATCGCAAAACTAAAAAATAAGATTAACCGTTTGGACTTTCTAAGAAGAATCATAGCTTTTTTTTAAATTAAAAAGAAAGTGTACACGAAATAGTTTACTACGGCCTACAGGTGCGTTTCCACGTTGAAAGGCTTTCAGATTTAAAATCATAATTGTAAACATGTCATCATAATAATATCTCAATACATATATTGTTAACTTTCGACACTATGTACAACAAAGAGATAAAAGGTAAGGCGATTAAAAGTACTAGTTTCGTCCTAATTGAAGGACGAAACTAATCGCCTTACCTTTTATCTTTTATCTTTTTATTGTACATAGTGTCGAAAGTTAACAATATATGTCTTGAGATATTATTATGAGTTTGAGCAAAACTTTCTTGGCTGCAGCAACAGATATATCTAGTCGACAAACATGTTATCTCCTTGCCCAAAAACCAAGCAACTCAAACATCCATCATAACTCATTCCACTTCACCACTCTCACGAAACATCGACACAAAAACACATAATTCTTCAGTTAATATTATCTGAAAATTACCTTTGGTCTTCCCAATCTCTTTACGACTTCGATTTCTGGGTCGGTAAGGACATTTCGGAAATATAAAACTTCAGGAGAAACATGGAGACGTTCTACTCCGATTCCACGAAGATACAGCCATGGTTTGTCTTTGACATACCAACATTTCAGCTGCTGTTGTTGACTTACTGTCTATAAATTCATGTAAATAGTCTCAGAAAAGAATCGAAATGGCTGTACCTGTAGTGAAATGGTTTAACTGATGGAGCTATCTGGTATTAATAGGGTTAGTTTAGTTTAGGTTTCCTCCAGTGTAGTAACACTGGATCAATAAGAGATGATCGTTACTGGACCTCTAGGAAGAACCGTTTAGAACTGATAGAGCTATCCAGAATAAATAAAGTTGGACCTCAAGGGAACTGGACCTCAAGGGAACTGGACCTCAAGGGAAAAATAACTTAAAACAACTATCCTAACAATAGTACTATAACAAAGATCAGTTTCAACTTACAAAATTAAATAAAGCATCAGCATCTGATCGACATAATTTGGAATAACGTTTGAATGCTCTTGATCCTTTCCAATCTTTTTCCTCTGCCGTGTCTTGAATATCCTCATCATCATCATCATTATCAACTTGTAGCAAAGTGTCGTCTGGACGCAACAAACCCTTCTGACCTGTCAACTGACCAGTGGATTTCAGCTCATCTGCGTAATACTTGAGGTTCTTCTGCGCACGCTGAAAACTTGGATCTGAAGAAATTATGACAAACATTGAAATTGCATTCCCACTAAAACTCTAAGAGCTTGATTTCTTCAATAAATATCTGGTTAGGCTGAGCTGTGTCAAACAAAACTTTAAGTTGCAATTCAAAATATGTTGGCAAGTGTGTTTACAAGAGACAAAGGCATTATATAGCTACAAGAGGGCAATGAAGAAGGTTCAGCCAAATCATTTCAGAAATCAATTCTGAAAACATTAAAATTTGGTAGAAAGTTAGGGGGGTTACAGGACCGTGTAACTAAATGTTTGCTTTCTTAACCAGAAGTTAGTGCCTAGTAAGAACAGGGGGGGGGGTAGTGATGCACTCCCATCCCCCAAGCCTTAGGATGCTTTTTAAAATATTTGAAGTTTCCTTACCATACATCAATATTGTTAAAGTCAGATTATACGCTTTCCGTAGATTACCAAGCTAAAAAGGAAAGGCAAAGTGTCATGAATTTGTAAAATGCTGCCTATGGGTTAGTTGGACAGCTTCAGAAGCTTTTGGCTCTATTTGTTGGCACAAATATCTGGCATTAGAGAAAGCTAATAGTGCTCATGGAAGTTCCTATACCACAGTATAAGTGAATTTCAGGATACAAAAACTTCTTGGAATATACACTAACCTTATATTCAACATATGACAAATAATCCAATATCTCAGCAATGTCATCCTCGTCATTCCTTTTTCCTTCCTTCCAAAGTATGGCTGCCGCGGCCAACCATTTCTGGGCTTCTTTGTACTTCTCTGCTTCATATGCAACCTTGCCAATCTCAAACGCATCATTTGCAATCATAGGATAACCTCTCGTTGCAGATGGAACCAAATCCTTTGCAAGATCCAATGCCTTGACTTTATATATGTCTTGCACACGAAATATAGCATCGATTGCACCTTCGAAATCAGATATGTCTGGAAACCAGCCTCGATGTTTGTCCAAAATCTCCAACAAACCTACAATGCGTTAAAACAACTTGTGAATGTCAACTTATAGCAGTTGAAATCAGCATTTTTTGCTGGAGAGAAAACTCTCCAGATGGTATTTGGAAGAAAACAATGCTTTTCAACAGTATTTTGACTATTTTCCAATTGAGAACTAGAATGGACTGCTATTACTTTAACCGTTTTTTATAGTAAAGGCCTAGATCTGGCCCGGACCAGGTCTAGAACAAGTCTTGGCAATATATGCCAAGTTCAAACTGTCTTGCTTGCTGATGTTATCCAATAGCCAACATAATTGACAAAATACTTGGAAGATCCCAAACATGTCAAAAATGGGAAATACCAGTATGGATTCTATACAGATTATAGTATTAAGTTCATCAGGATTAGGTAAAGCCTGTTCACATGACAAAAATCATGCTTCTGGTCAGGTCTGGCCTGGTGCTGGCCACCTTCTTTATTGCCCTGGATTTTTTCACTTAGACCAGTTCCTAGGCCAGATAAACAACATTCACACCTAGGCCAACATTGACACCTAGACCAAAGCACTAGTGTAAACATGGCTCTAGACAGAATACTACACTTTAGCAAGGTATTCTCTGTGCATAGTCTGCAGGCAAATGCTTTCAACTGACATTTAATGTACATTGCAATTCTGGTTGTGAAAGTGCAGATTGAGTATTTCCTTTTTACTCTCAGGTCAAAGAATGCTGGACTAAGTAGCTGCCAACATCGTCAGACCACCTGCCTGAATGAATGGATTAACAATACTATTTCCCCATTGTTGGCTGCTATTATTATTAAACTATTAACAAGTAAAGAGCTCACTTGTAAATCTGGTGCTGGTAACGTTTAAACTATTATTAATGCCAAAAAAACACGCGATCAAATTCGAGACAACTTTTATGATGCAAATTCTCAACATCACTTGTCAACTATCAAGGACAGCATGATGACATAAGAACTGAGTCTGGTAGAACACAGTAAAATATGACACCTCCTGATCGAAACGACGTGCAGTAGTACTTCAGGTCAGAATTTCAAGCAAAATAAGTTGAGAATCTATTCATCCTAGCACGTAAAACGAGAGATTGACAAACTATTACACATCGAGGTTATTGCATACCATCTGTTGAAGGGTTTTTGGCCATGTATTCGATAGCCGACCAATCTTTCACAAACCGCTTGATCAACAAGTAGGCATTTGAAGGATGTCCCAAATAGTTTTCCACTCTTCCTTCGGGTATAACGTCGTGTATTTGAACTAGTTTTTCCGTAAACTGTTTAATTTTATCCAGCCTGGCTTGTTCTTGATACAAGTAGTCCTTTAAACCAACGATCATCTCTTTTTCACGGTAAACCAAGTTCTCCATTTCGATCAATGCCGTGAATACATCCCCGCTTCGCACGCGAATTGTGCAAGCCAGGAAGAAACACAGCGTAGTCCAAGTAAAAAGCCAGTCCATTTTATCGTAAAATGGCAACCGATCGGCAGATAGTTGCCGGTTTTGTTGTGAAATGCTCAACAAAGCGGTGTCTATATCACAGGCTTTTAACAGAAGTGAATAATATAGTACCCGTTTGTTTTGCACGACACCTTGGGAGAATTTACATGTTCATCGCTCGATAATGAACTCGGCGGTATCTGATTGGTCGAAAATGTCGCAAATAAACTTTGCGCTTTTGCGCAAAATATTCAAACAAGATAACGCGTGAAAAACAAATAACTAACACTTCGTTGTCGAAAATTGTTGCCGAAGTCCACATATTTGAAATTTAGAGCTGAAGGTTTGAGGTAGAAAAGGAACGGCTATTAGGAATCAAATTTCGTGCTATTGTAGTAGTACTAATTGCATTGTCAGCGGGCTATTTTTAAAAAGCAATAGCTGGCTTTCATCAAAGCCACAGTACCGAACCTGCTCATTGCTCACGCACGGGTTAATCGAAAATTAAAACAGTTTAGTATCTCAAGTCCTCTCGATACGGTAATTAGACGATTGTTATGAGACCATTATATATTTTATATTTTCATTATGGGCCGTTCAATTTAAACTTGTGGAATTCTTGTCTGGATTAAGGCCGATCTACACAATGCGATTAGTCGTATACGATTTTTATCCTGACGTCACTCTTTGTGTTCATCAATTTATAACGAAGTTTTAAATGTGACATCTTTACACGCATTTATTCGATTACATACGCCAGTATACGAATGGTATACGACTAATCACAGGGCGCGATTTTTATATAGACTTTTACGCCACCGAGAAAAATCGTATTTAAACACACGTAAAAATACGTTGTATATTTTTACGTGGAAAAAGCATCATTTTCGCAAGCCAATCAATTGATATTTATTCGGGCTCTGACTCTCTGTCGACCGTAGATTGGTATAAGTATCAAACGGCTGATCGCAATTGACCACAGGAGTGTTGCCGGATAAAAATGTTATCGATTTTATAAACTTTTTTCATTCAGGCAAGAATAAATAAATAATTAAACCACCACAGCTGGAAAGAGCAAACTAAAAGTTAGCAAATTGCAATGTTTGATTCCGAACTACGGTAAGTTCTCAGGTTCTCAAACGGACAAATTTAGCCGTACAGTGCTCTGGTTCTTGTCCGGTTCAGGTGTTTAAACGGTAAAGATGGATGCAAATTTGACCAGTTCTACGTGTTCAAACGAAAAAACCGGGCAAATTCGAGCACGGTCCCAAATTCGTCCCGTCCCGTGTGAACGTAGCCTCAATCTTCTACAAATCTTCTACAATTAGTCTCAGTCCCAGTCGCTCGCTGGACTTTGCGCAGTACGCAGAAAACCTGGGAACGAGGATGCTCGCGTTGCATGATGGAAGGCTAACCCGCAAACAGGCATACTATTCTTCTGTGTACCCAATCGCCGGAGACTATGAAGGACAAACCCGCTTCCGTTTCAAGATCTTTCCCTTCCACTCTTTCAAATGAAAATGGCACACTCACAAATGTGTTGACATCTGTGTAAACTGATTGCAAACTGATTTATATTGCCCAGAATAATCGAAAACTCGATGAAAGCTCAGCGTTGTAACAAACTTACGAATCCTTGACTTTATTCATCTCCCTGATATATGCATCTTCGTTCTGAGAAAAGAAAAAACACAAAGAGTTGATTTTCTCCCCATGCAGCGCCGCTCTCCCGCTTCTTTTCCCTACGAAAATTAAAAAATATGCCTCATTATACATGCCCGGTTTATAAAACACCTGTTCTGGCTGAGCAAATTGAAGAGGTCGAAAACTTTTGAACAAAGCATTGCTTTCTGTCCGGCACGAATAACTTTCTCAAGCCTTCGTTTCAGAGTGCTCACATCAGCACGTAAATAGGGCTCTTGTCCCGTGTGAATTTTGTTCCAGAAATCGACAACATTTCGTCGTCTTTTTTGTTTAAGAATATCCCCCTCGGTCGGTGGAATAAAAGGGTTCTGTTTTAGTATACATGGCGGGATTTCTTGAGATCCTTGTTGTGAAAGTTGCTCTCACTCTCACCTAGAGACTGTCAAGCGATATAGCGCTGATAGCTATCTATGGAAAACATCGCTCCGAAAAGCATTTTGTTTTAATCTGGTGCAAAACATCCGTCGTCAAACTCCCCCAAGCCGTATAGCTGTTGGGAACTCCTACGAATAATATTCCTACGAATAGAATCGGTCTTTAATTCCCTCTTACCAAAATATTACATTGTTTCATAATTAAAGTTGTCCTACGATTTTGAAGTTGAAGCCGCTCATATATAAAAGCTTCCGTTACTAGGAAAGGCTCTGTTCTAAAGCCACTAGACTTTTGGGTGAAGTCTATATACGGCAAACTCGCTTCATAATTCATATCAACCTAAAATATAGCCGAAAATATCTATTACTTCTCCGCGATCAACAGCAGTATTAATGCATGCTTCTGTAATTCTTTCGTAAAACACAGCTGTATACTAGCGAAAATAAAAGATCCCTTTCCCTTTCAATAAAATAAAAAATACAAAGGCACACATCGCTTTAAAAAACGTACGGCTTAATAATTTAAGCCGGCCCGGGACGCGTACAGATTTGCGACAACGAATAAAAAGGTTTCTTCGGCGTCTCGAGACTTAACATCAAATTCTCGCTCTTTCCTAATAATTTGTAATAGCATTATGATTTTCGAGCTGTAATGAGTACACGATGCTTTGTTTCTTTGAACGCGAGCAGGTGGCTACTGGCAGCATGTATGTAAATAAGATATGTACTGTTTTGTATTGTGGCCTATTTCGCTTAGATGCGCCGGTCTAGAGGGCGCGTTATGATGAATATATTGACATCATGCGTGTGTGCATCGCCAGAAATGAACAGGTGTTACAACAACGCACATTATAAGGACGAAATCAAAAGAGGCCTGTGTCGTTATTAAAATCTGCAGCCCCGTCAAAAGCGAAGAGGATATATTCGCGGCTTGAAGGCATTCAGAACGGAAAAAGAAAGATCTGAAAAAGGAAGGAACGTGAGCGATATTTTCACGCGCTGTTTAGGATAGAGCCGAAAGGTTTTCAGGAGATGACAAGCTCGACGTCTGAAACAGATGTTATACCGTTGCTATACTCGGAAAGATCAGGCAAAAGATCGTCACAGAGTCGCTCTGAAGATTCAAAAGTTCGTTCAAAAACAAAGTGTTTCGATAGAAGTGGTTCGAACTCGTTAAAACGTCCCAGGGGAAGCGACAACACCGCTTCTGAAAGAACTAAGAGCGTTGGCAAAGATGCGAAGCGTGGCAAAGCAAGCCATAGTTCAAGTGCGGCTGAGAAAAGGTCTTATGAAAGACGGCATTCGACCGAAGACGAACCCGATGAAGTCGCCTTGAGCTATCTGAACGCAACAGGCTCGAAGTCGAACGGGCAATCATCGAATACGGGAAAGAAGGCGATAAGTGTCGCGAGTAAGTTTGGAGAGAGCCATTTAGGAGATGACGGCGAGCAACTCGAAGAGGTGGAACAGACAAGTGCGCAAATAAAACACTGCGGAAAACGTGGAATTCGTAAAAAAATGTCCGGCGATTCGACGAAAAAAGTAAAATCCTCACCGGCGACGAAAAAGGATAGCTCTTGGAAACAAAATAGTCGATCGAGGCGTTTGGTAGCGAACGCAAGGGAACGCTCAAGGATTCATATTTTGAGCGACGCGTTTGAAAACTTACGGCGAGCTGTGCCGAGTTATTCTCACGATCAAAAACTCTCGAAGCTAGCGATACTGAAGCTGGCAACGTACTACATCTCCGCGCTTTCTAACCTGGCCGAGAGTGATACATCAGCAAGATCTCTCAAGCAGTTTGCGGATTGTGTGTCGCACTGCACGAACGCTTTGCAAACAGAGGGACGCTCTCGTAGGAAGAATTTCTAGGGAAAATATGTTGACTATATGAAACACTAGCCTGACAGCCTGACGCATCAGTGCACCTTGGTTCGAGGCGGTAAAGTTTCGCTGTATATTACCAAGGGCTGCATGCATATAGGCTTGTTTTTCGACCAATTTGAATCTACTTCTTGTTGCCAATTGTACATTTAAAATTATTTTATTAAACGGCACGTAATATTGTGCAAAGCAATACGGACATTATCAGCATGTAAATATATTAGTGAGAAAAATCTTGTGAGAAATGAGCAGAAATACAGACCTATATCCAACTATATTCAGTATGATTTAACTTCTTTAAGCCTGATCCACACTTGTCCAAAGAATCTGGGATTCCTTTTGCCTGAGGTCACTTGTGCATAAAATGCTTTGTCTGTCGGAAAGTATAATATAATGGATCCCCGATTCTTAGGAGCTAGTGTGGTTATCATATATCACCGACGGTCGGCGATGCCTATATTGTCGGTGATCACTGATGAATATATAAAGTGCTTTGTTATTTTGAATAAATTTTATACAATAGGTCGCCGACTGTCTGCGATGCATATGAGAACAGGGCTTTAAAACGCAAAATTCTAAAATCCTAATATATGTTACCCGGAATATTTTTTCAACTATAATGCAAGATTATGCTTACTGGACTTCTAGGAAGAACAGTTTATGACAAATAGTTGGTTTAGTTTAGGTTTGGTTTTTTAAAACCGGATCAATAGAGAATTATCCTTGGTGGACCTTCAGGGAAAACACATGCAGTTTGGAAATGACATGCACAGATATCCTGTATAAATAATATAAACTAAATTTAGTTTGGGTTTCCTCCTGTAGTAACACTGGATCAATAAAAGATTATCCTTACTGGACCTCTAGGAAGAACAGTTTAGAACTAATAGAGCTATCCGGTATAATAAAGTTAGTTTAGTTTAGGTTTCCTCCTGTAGTAACACTGGATCAATAAGAGATGATCCT